CTTTTTTTTTTTTTTTTTTTGGCTTTTTCGTTTTTATGGGTACCGGGGATCGAACTCACGACTGCCTGCTTTCAAGGCAGGCACTTATGCCGCTGAGCTAAATCCCCAGCCCCAAGTGTGTAATCTTTAAATACCTTATATGAGTTAAGGTTTTTTGTCTTCTGTGTTTGGCAGTAACCATAAGCACTGTATTTAACAGCAGAACCCCATTGGGAAATCCCTTGTTTGTCACTGCCTTAATTGGCATGGTATTTGGTGCCTTTATTTTGTTCTGATGCAGAAAATCAGTAGTGATACAAGTACAGTTGTTGTGTATGTCACATTATAGCCCAAAAGCAAATTCGGTTCAGATGTGCGTCCTTGATTTTCTGCAGTTACTTTAGTAGTTGCCTCCAAAGTCTTATTCTAAATGCTATAGAGTCTGTGCAGTTCGCAAGACCTTGTAGAAAATCCTTTAACAAGGTGAAGAATTGACCGGTGCAGCCCCCCAATGAGACAGGAGATGCTCTTGTGGGCGACAGTTAACTGCTGCTTTATTTACGCGGGCTCTGGTTTATATATTTGGCCGTGACCAATCACAGGCTGCCACGAGGAAGCCGGGTGGGAATGGGACGCAGGCTCTGGCTACTATATCCAGCTGTGGCCAATCAGGGGTTGCCACAGAGTCGGCATGGGGCGAATACGGAGTGAGCACGAGGTGCGCACGGGTTGGCTAATTTAAAGAGTGACGTAGCGCATTGCGGAAGCTGGCGTGGTCCTTAGTCCCGGGTGGGGTATGGTATGTTGAGCGCCTGCGCCCAACATCTCCCCCTTTCTTTATAACTGACGCAGGGTCTCCAGAGGTCGGTGCCCCTCGTGAGGCGTCATGCTGTGCAGTCATGACGGTACCTCACTACCCATTGGTGCTCTTTTGGAGGGGGCGGGAGTATTGTTTTATGAGCCCAACCTGCATGCTCATCGACTTGGAGACCGGGGTGTCTCCTGGCCAAGGACGACACCCCCTGCGATGCTTTGCTCCACACCTGCGTCACAGCATGGCGAGCCATGCTGCCGGGCTTTGACCAGATTCCATGATCAGCAATGCTTGTTTGATACTTTGTCCCTATTCCTTTGTCTGCGAATCCGACAGAGCAGAAGTAGACTGCCGAATGCGGCAAATGTAGTCATGGTAGCCAGAGCCCCTATTTCCGCCCATTCCTTTATGAAAGCCAATTGGAGAGTTGGCCCGAGCTGGATCACAGGAAACTTGTCTGGGTCCGTCATAACTGGAATCGGTAGGAACTGGAGTACCTGCATAACGACAGCTGAAAGTGTACTGTTATCCCAACATTGTAACATATAACAGGTTGTGGTGGAGCAATTTGGAAAAGTCATATTTGTGGTGTTTATGGTGGCCAGGGAGAATCCCCATAATATCTCCTGGGAGTATCCATCCAGGGGTTCACAGGCAGTAAACTGGAGGACCCTTCCCTGGTTCATACCCTTGATTTTTAAGAATTCTCCTGGCTGTGTGAGAATATTCATTGCATAAGGTCAAGTCTAGGGCAGAGAGCACTTCTCTCCCCCATTGGGTAACTGGAAGCTGGAGAACATAGGGTATGAATTCTCCTGAGTGTCCCTCACTGTCTTCCCATTTAATTATCTGACTACTAATTTTAGGTGCATGAACTGATCCCAAGCCTTGCAGTGTTTGTTGTGCCGTCTGGGTAGGCCAGGTTAGTGGCCAGTCCTTTTCAGCTATAATAGAGCGGTCTGCTCCTGTGTCTAGCAGTCCGGATATTTTTCGCCCATTGAGTGACAATGTTAGCATGGGGCGCTCATCCAATCTAAGAACGAGGGCAGCAAAGGCTGGGTCTGATGATCCAAATCCTCTGTCTTCTCTAATACCAGACAATGATGGATAGTCCCCATGACGGCTGGATAATACTAGCATCTGAGCGATGCGGTCTCCTGCCCCTACAGCTACTGGGCCTTTAGGAGCCTGCATCATCACCTTTATTTTTCCTGTGTAATCAGAATCTACAACACCCGGTAAGACCTGTATTCCTTTCATGGAGAGGGATGATCGACCAATTATCAACCCTACTGTGCCTTCTGGTAAGGGGCCGGACATATCTGTCTCTATGGCCTGTTTCCCCATTTTCGGGGTTAATACGAGTCCAGTGGTGGCACAGAGGTCAAGTCCCCCTGAACCCGGAGAAGCTCTCCTCGGTTCTGACCTGCCCATGTTGGCGTCATTGGCAGTGTCTGGTCTACCATGTATTCTCTGGCTGGGTAGAATCGGGGGCCCACCCCCCAGGGGGGCCCCCCAATCCCGTTTTTTGGCCTCTCTGGGTTACGGCCCTTACCCGTGAGGGGCAGCCCATTTACATCAAAGGTGGAGCGGCACTCCGCGGCGGAGTGATTTCCATTTTTACATCTGGGGCACTTTCGGTCTTCAGGAGTGGGGGTTGTTCTCTTCCGGGTCCCCAAGATGGGCAGTCTCTTTTTATGTGTCCCTGTCTGCCGCATTTGAAGCATTCTTCTTTCAGGCGGGCGCCATTTTGTGGCGCCGCTCTGCCTCCCTGACCTTCTTTAGTTAGCTTCATTAACATGGCCGCCAAACCTGAGTTGGTTAATGGCCCCCCGATCTCCCGACAGAGTTTCATCCATACCTCAAGAGGCCTATTTTTGTATGGACTAATGGCAGAGCGACATTCTTTAGTACATTGCTCAAAAATGAGCTGTTTAATGAGCAGCATGGCTGTCTCAGCGTCCCCAAAAATTCTCCCTGCCGCCTCCATCATGCGGGCCACAAAATCTGAAAAAGGCTCGCTCGGGCCCTGCAAAATCTTTGTCAAGTGGCCTGAGACTTCTCCCCTAGCCGAGACCCGTTTCCATGCTTGTATGGCTATTCTATTTATCTGTGCATACACCTCTTGTGGAAATATCAGCTGGTTATTGAGATACTGCCCTTGTCCTAATAACATATCCGCGTTCCAGGCAGCCTGATTGTTCCGGGCATTAGCTTGGGCCTGTTCTGTGACAAGTTCAACATTCCAGGTTTTCCAATCAAGATATTGGCCTGGGCTGAGCACCGCCTTGCACAAACTGGCCCAATCAGCAGGTGTCATGGCGTTTCCTGCCAGGGCTTCTACTAGGGACAGGGTATACACCCCGTTAATACCGTACATGGTGCTGGCCTCCTTAAGATGCTTTATCGCCTTTATATCTATAGGCAGGTGGGCTCTGTTTCCCTGAGCATCTATAGCAACCAGAAAAGCCTGGAGAAAACGGCCCAGGCCTCCTGGGTCCTCTCTTTTGACTTGATGCCAAAGGTCTTCCTGGAATGTCCCAGGGGACGTCTGGACCCATTGCGGGCAGCTACATAGCTGATGGCAGGGTCTCGGGTAAGCATGATAATCTGGCGGGTTGGGAGGTAGAGCCGTAGGTCTTATACGGGGCGGCCCTGGGATCCCGTACTCACTTTCATTGACCCATTTACTCTGAGAAATCCTGCGTTGCAGCTCATTTATGGCCTCAGAGTAGGGCCCTCTCGACTGCGTGTGTGTGACTTCCCCTCTTTTGGTGGTGTCTGCATCCGCCATTTTGTATACTTCTTCTTCCTCCCCCTCATTATCTGACGAGTCCTCTGTTTCTGGGTTGGGTGCAGTCGCCTCGCCTGCGGCACTGGGCTTGCGAGATTGCTCGCGGGAGGATTCTGCCTGATGGTAACCAAGCGCCATGGCGCCAGCCCTTATATGGTCACGACAAGAGGAGTCTGTGAGGCAGCTCCTCACTACTGCCCAAAGGGGTCTGACTCCTGGCTCCAGGAGGCCATTTTCTGCTGCAAAGTCAAGATCTCTCCCTAATTTATCCCAGCTGGGAATGGTAACGGACCCTGTGGGACCAAACCAAAGTGCTACCTTATCGACCTGATCGAGGAAGTTTTGAATTTGTTCTCGTTTCATTTGTAATCCCTTTTCTCTCAGTAAGTCGCCCAAAGCGACTGACAGCGGCTGAGTAGCGGTGTTGCCCATGTTAACCGGAATTTCAAGAGTTTCTTTTTATTTTTTTTATTTTTTTATTTTTTTTGTTTCCTTTTTCCTTTTTTTTTTTTTTTTTTAAACAGGGACAGCTTAGTCCCCGTGCCCCTTTACAGCGCCCCCAAAACCTGCCTCTTTACGGCACCAGGAACTCTCTTTACGAGTTCCTCGACCCTTGCGACGTGTCCGCCCAAGGTTGCCCGATAGCCCCCGCCATCTGGCCGGGCAGCACCCGCTGCCTGTTGCGTAGCCCCCGCTACCAACGTTGAGCAGTTTAACCTGTCAGCCCCCGCCCGCCGCGTAGCCCCCGCTATGGGCACTTGACGGTTTTACCTATTAACATCTCTGTTCCGTTGGAGAGAGAGGTTCGTTCCCCGTACTGTCGGAGAGAGGGTCTCAGCGCTCCCCGTACGGGCCACCAGTTGACCGGCGCAGCCCCCCAATGAGACAGGAGATGCTCTTGTGGGCGACAGTTAACTGCTGCTTTATTTACGCGGGCTCTGGTTTATATATTTAGCCATGACCAATCACAGCCTGCCACGAGGAAGCCGGGCGGGAATGGGACGCAGGCTCTGGCTACTATATCCAGCTGTGGCCAATCAGGGGTTGCCACAGAGTCAGCACGGGGCAAATACGGAGTGAGCACGAGGTGCGCACGGGTTGGCTAATTTAAAGAGTGACGTAGCGCATTGCGGAAGCTGGCGTGGTCCTTAGTCCCGGGTGGGGTATGGTATGTTGAGTGCCTGCGCCCAACAAAGAATCTTTTTGTAGTGTGAATAATCGCTCCTTATTGTAAAGATTGTGATTAGTTGTATCAGAGCAGAGCATGCTGAACTGATTCAAAAAAGAACCTGTGGCTTCTAGGCATTACCCACTCTACATGCTTACACCTACGCAGGGCATGTATGTTTTGTTTGCTGTGTACACAGACATACCTGCCTATGTAAACGTCATTGTAATTCTTTCTGATGGGCATGTCTCACCTGTGCCGTTCACCCTCAACCCACTACCTGTAAGGGACACACTGCCCATCCTTCTGCATGTGAAGACATGCTGAGCAGTGTAATCAAGCCAGTGGAATGCTGAGACTTGCTCTTCCAGATCAAAATAGCACCCAGAACTTTGCCATCCAGGCTTGGAAATAGCATCAGAGCAGCGGCAAGCAAAGGAGAGGAGTGATGAGTCCCTGGTGGGTGTGGGCTGGGGGTGGTGCTCTCAGGCAGCCTCTGAAGTCGGCTTGAAGGATGATGACTCAGAGGAGTTGTGGAATTTAGCCCCAGCCTGCTGGAGGACAGGTCTCCTTGAATAGGTTTCCTCAGAGCAAACGGGCTGAGCTGGAGAGAAAGGAAAGTAGAAATGAGAGCAATCCAGGAAAGAGTGCAAAGGTGGCGGCGAAGGATTCTCCACACTGGGGCAGGCAGTCAGGGCTTATTTTAGCTGAGAGTCTTTTCATTTTGAGAAGAGGGCAGAAACCCAGTTTAAACTGCCTTAAACAGTAACAGACTTTGTTGGCTTAGGTAATGGTCATTTTGGATTTTGGTGTGTCTTGGTCCTATGTTGGAAATGTGTCTGCAAACTGCAATGCTGCATTATTCTTGTCCTGCACACTGGCCCTCTTGGTGTGTACAGCCCAGCAGGCAGAAGGGCTCTTCCTCCCAGTACTCCTCTGTCAGGCCTGGTGAAGAGCTCAGATTAGCTCTGCCTGGGTCACTTGACCCCTCGTTGGTGCCTGGCCCAAATGGAGCACTAGGCTTCATGTTTAAAGTCCTCCCCTCCTGACTTCCAGTCACATGGAGTAGGAGGGAAGTCCTCTAAATCAAAGGCCCAACTTCTGTACCGTCTTAGTCAGCACTTGGGCTTGTCTTGTTTTTGAGACAGGGTCTCACTATGCTGTTCAAGCTGGCCTTGAGCTCACTTGCTAGCCCAGGCTGGTCTCAAACTTGTAATAATCCTCCTGCTTCAGCCTCCGAAATTCAGGGATTACAGGTATATAAAGCACTGTGCATATAGGTAGTTGTCAAGGTTGGCTGCAGGGGCATGTGTGCTATTTTATTTTATTTTATTTAAAGGGGAAGGATAGTCTCAAAATTTTATGGACTCCCCCTCCCTTTTTTCTAATTGCATTGGTTAAAAAGCAGCTAACCAATTCATTAAGGTATGCCCTCCAGCCAAGTCTAACTTTATTTAGACACTATAACTGTAGATAGACAAGCTGATTGTTTGAACCAACATGGAGTGTTAACAAACATCACAGTCCTCACTGATAATGTTGCAGTTTTGTAGTCAAGTGTAGAGACTTCTCTTCCAAAAAAGCTTGTGATCATCTTTTATGGCTTGTCTGGAAATGTCTGTAAATTTTATGTTTTAGTAAAATTTTTTTGTTATTCTTAAAAAAAATAATTAAATGAATAAAATGTGGCCCTGGGCTCAATATGTAGTGCTGAAAAAATATCCTTCAAAATTTCCTAGATTTGCCACATGTTCTGTTGTTCCTAATTGGCTAGAATGAGGTACAGGAAATAGAAACATAGTGGCTGAGAGTGGGACCCCGTCCCCAAAAGATATTGCTGAGAAAATGTGTCAGCACAATTGAGACCCTGTTCCAAGGAGGGCACCGTGGTTTGGGTGTGGTTTTCCCCCCAGCTTTACGTGTGTGCAGGGCATGGAAGCTATGGACCTCCTCGTTGTGCTGTGGGCAGGAGCTCCTAGCTCTGGAGGAACCAGGTCAGTTCTCGCTGTGGGCAAGGTCACTCCCATGTGTTAGTCTCTGTGCTCATGAACAGCCCCTCACGTACACACTAGCACTGGGGGGTTGAGTACAGGGCATTCATGCTAAACTACATCCCCAGCCCTTCAATTTTTATTTTTTTTATTTTGAGAGAGAGTCTTGTTAAGTTGCTCGGATTGGGTTCGGAATTGTGATCTTCTGTCTCAGCTTCCCACAGTGCTGGGATTTCAGTCATATGTCACTAGTTTCCTTTCTGCCGCTTGTGACAGAGCCAAAGGCCTTTCACCAGGGTGCTGGCACCATGCTGTTTGGGCCCTTGAGCTACCAGAATCATGAGCCAAATAAACCTCTTTATAGGTTGCCCAACCATAGACATTTTGGTAAAGCAGTACAAATGGACTAGGGCAAAGGAGAATGGCCATCAGGTAGACCGAACAGCATCTGTTGCTCCCAGGACCCTTGGCCAGTACCAAAGTAGCACAAGGAAAGAGCTATTCTGGACCTGAGGATACGGTGGCTATCATCTTACCTGCTTGGCAAATTTAGATCCAAATCCAAAGTTATTTGGGATATTTTGTTTTTTGTCATTGTCCTGGGAATCGAACTCAGGAACACATGCTTGCCAGGCAGGTGCTGTGCCACTGAGCTCTTTCCCGAGACCCAGTGTGAATCATCTGAAAGATTTTTCAGTAATCATGTCAGTGATTACACTGTGTGTCCTTCCTGCTTTGCTGTCTGTTTTTCTGATGGCCATGTTCCCTTTTACTTTTATAATCAATTCATTCTTCTCAGATTGCCAGTGACTGCTCTCCTACCCTCCTCTCCAGGTTTCAGTAGAAAGCCCAAACTCAGCAGGGCTTGATTTTTGAGCTTCAAATTAGAATTCTGCTGAGCAGGCCATGTGCCATCAGCTCTGCTGCTGGTGGGCCTTAAGTATGGATTCCACGGCACTTTCACTGGTGTCTTCATGAGAAGCTTGGCTCCCAGCCTTATATGTCCATGTGGAGACTCAGGTGCTTTGCCAGCTGCTGCTAGTGGCACTCTGCAGCCACAGGCTGAGTAGGCGCCTCCTGTGAGCCAACCTGAGGGGAGGGGAGATAAGGCATTGTGTACCTGGGCTGTGGGGTTCTGGCTGATTGAGCCACGGTGTTGATGGACTGCTACCATGGATATACATATGCTTTGCTTTCCCTGTGTGTGAAAGAAATGCTGGTCAGTATAGAAAACAAATACATGACCAAACACCTTTATAGTTCGCAATTCTCCCAACAAGAAAACTTTGGTTTTGGAAACCTTGACTTCAGATTTTCCTTCTAATGCATGTATCTAGATATAATTATCACTTAATAAAGTGGCTGTGGTTTTCATAATGCTTTTCGATGTGCGTGCATGCCTATCATTAGCTACTTCCTGAGGCCATCTGCTTGCAGTATGCTCTTTTTAACCTTACACTTTTTTTCCTCCTCTTCTTCCCCCTCCTCCTCCATCTCCTCTTCCTTTTTTACCTCTTCCTTCCCTTCCACCTCCTCCTTGCCCTCCTCTTCCTCCTTCCCTTCCTCTTCCTCCTCCTCCTCTTTCTCTTCTTCTTCCTCCTCCTCCTCCTATTCCTCCTCCTCCTTCTCTCTCTCTTTCTCCTTCTTCTTTTTTTTTTTTTTTTTTTTTTTTGGTACCGGGCATCGAACTCAAGGACTTGCCAAGAAGGCACTTTTGCTGCAGAGCTAAATCCCTGGCCCTAACTTTGTACTTTTTTTTTTTTTTTTTTTTTTTTTTTTGGTCTTTTGCCTTTTTATCGGTACCGGGGATCGAACTCACGACTGCCTGCTTGCAAGGCAGGCGCTTATGCCACTGAGCTAAACCTCCAGCCCCCACTTTATACTTTTTAAAAATTATCTAGATACTGTACACTATACCTTCTTTAGCTAGTGTCTTAGTTACATTTTACTCGCTGCTGAGACAAAATACCTGAAGCCCAAAGTTGGGAAAGGAAAGGTTTCTTTCTTACAGTTTTTGGAGGTTTCAGTCCATACTCAGTTGACTCCAAGACAGGCAGGCATGCCTGGGCTTCAAGGTGGCTGCAAACAGCAAGGAAGAACCAGCAAAGAGAGCAAGACACACCTTCTTCTTGCCATTACATCACATCATGGCTCCACTCCTATGTAGGTGGAGCACTGACAGCATTAATCCAAGCACTAGACAATGAACCAATCACAAATACACAATGCAAACTCATGAGGCCTGGGGGACACAGACATAAACCATGACATTACACCCCTGGCCTCCAGGACTCATGTACATCCTTTATACAAAAGACATTTAGTCCACCTCCAAGAGTTGCCAAAGTCAACATCTTCATCATTGCTGAATCATGCTAACATCTTCAGCATTGCTGAAAAGTCCAAGTCCAAAGTCTCCTCCAAGATCTATGGCAAACTCTTTAACTCTAACCCCTGTACAAATGAAACAAGGTTAAACATTTCTGAAATGCAAAGGCACAAGATAAACATTACCAGTCCAAAAGTTACAAACGGGAATAGAAAGCATTGGAAACAAAGCAAGTCCAACATCCAGCATGGCAAACATTGTGTTTAAGTCCTAGAGTTTTATGCTCAGCATCTGAAACAATCTGGTTAAAAGCTCCAAAAGGCTTGGGTGATTCCACCCCAGGGCACTTCCAGGGATTTCAGCTCCCACAGCTTCTCTCCTAAATCCTCTCTGCTCACTTTTTGCAGTTTTCCTTGGATCATCCACATTCCTGGCTTTTCCAAACTTCTGGGGTCTCCACTGCACCTTCGGCTTCACCCTTACATCTTCACAAATTGCCCTCTCAGGGGCACACTGCTTGGCCTCCCAGGCCCTTTGCAATTGAGGTGGAAGCCGTGTTACCCTCAGAATTCGTGCATTTTTCTTGCACCTAAAATCAGCACCTGTGGATGCCGCCAAGGTTTGCTGCTAGCTGAAGCAGTAGCCAGGCTTTTCTCTCTCCTTGGCTGTAGGGGTCAGTTGCCTGGATCGCAGGGCTCTGTTTACCTGATTGTGATGAAAATCTTCTCTGTGTTGCCGCCATTCTGGAAACTCATGTGGCCTCTGTCGCCATTCTGGAACCTCACTTGGCCTCTTTCGCCATTCTGGAGCATGGTACTTTGTAGCTTTTTTCTCTGAGCAAATTATTTCATCTTTGCTGTGAGGCTGCACAGGGTGGGGACCCGCTTCCTGGGATGCCCCCCCAGCCATCTTTCTTATCTCTCTGTTTCTCCTCAGGAACCAAAATCTCAACTCTGTCTTTACAATCCACAGCCTTCCTGGAATTTTCCTCTGGCCAAACTCACAGCATTGTAAATTATCCTGTGGGGCTCTTTGCTCTTGATTTGAAACATATAGCTGGCTAAAAGCTGCCAACAATAGCCATGCCACAGCCTCAACATTTGATTGCTTTTTAATTTCTTTTTCAAGGTTATCAGTCCAGGGGCTGGGAATTTAGCTCAGTGGCATAAGCACCTGCCTTGCAAGCAGGCAGTCGTGAGTTCGATCCCCGGTACTGATAAAAAAAAAAACAAAGATTAATCAGTCCATTGCCCTTTTTCTCAGTCTCAGGCAAAGTCTCTGGGCAGGAGCAAAATGCAGACAAACTTTCTGCCAAGCCATAACACACATCATGTGGAGTCCAACAACCAATGCAATCCTTTTTCCCAGCAGAAACCTCCCAAGCCTGGTCTTTACCATGAGGCTTTCTATCATCAGCCTTCTGGTATCCTGAGCTCTGACCAGAATCTCTTCTACAAAACAGCCTAAGCTGCTCCAGCTCTATGCATCCAGGCGACTTGTCTAAACCTTTTCAAACTCCGCCCACAAGCCATTTCCAAAGCCTCTCGAAAAACATGGTCAGGTATAGTCACAGCAAATGACCCCACTCCTTGGTACCAAATTCTGTCTTAGTTATATTTTACTCGCTGCTGAGACAAAATACCTGAAGCCCAAAGTTGGTAAAGGAAAGGTTTCTTTCTTACAGTTTTTGGAGGTTTCAGTTCACACTCAGTTGACTCCAAGGCAAGCAGGCATGGCTGGGCTTCATGATGGCTGCAAACAGCAAGGAAGAACCAGCAAAGAGTTTGAGGGTATAGGCAACTACTTTGAAGGCAATAAGATTCACTAAGATGCCCATTCTGGTTTGACTATTGTCTCCTTTGGAAGTCCTGTAATGTTTACAGTGCTTAAGTTTTATTGGTCTTGTTCTCTACTGTTTTGTTCAACTTTATAATATCTAATGAGATAGACAATTCTTTTTAAGGAAACAAGAGACATTGTTGATAACCATTGTTGATAACCTTGTACTCTGTTTTACATCATGTGCTATGTCTATCCTTGGTTTTGACTGACAGCTTTGTTTTGCCATATTTGACTTTATTCCCTCCCCCCCAAAAAAGTAATAAGAACTAAGGAGTAATAAAACCCAAAATGTGTAAATTTTGTTGTAAAAAAGAGAGGGGAAAAAAAAAAAAGCTCTAAAGGATACAACAGCAAGTGTGTTTAGGGGTGTTAAATAGCTGACCATATTAATGTTTTTGGTTGGATCGTTGAACACAACTGTTTGCAGTCTCACTGTTTGAATGTCCACTTTGTATGCTTTGATACTGTGATTTGAGCAACTATCTCTAAGATGATAATATGTAATCTATTAACTGGTGATTTCTTACTGTTTTTTTTTTTTTTTTTTTGTAGTTGTGTATTACTTGTACCCTTACACCGCTTTGTTTTGTTTTGTGTTTTTCTCTTTTTCCTTTTAAATAAAATTAAAAAAAAAAAAAAGAGAGCAAGACACACCTTCTTCCTGCCATTACATCACATCCTGGCTCCACTCCTATGTGGGTGGAGCGCTGACACCATCAATCCAAGCACTAGACAATGAACCAATCACAAATACACAATGCAAACTCATGAGGCCTGGGGGACACAGACATAAACCATGACAGCCAGTCTCCAACAATAGGTTGAACATTTGGATTACTTCCAACTTTTTCCTCCCACAACCTTGCAGTGAATGACCCTTGTATTACATGTGTGTGTATGTATGTCTTTGTATCCTTTCATGAGTATTTCTATGGGATAATTCCTAAAACTAAGATTGTTAGGTTAAGGAAATGAACATAGTACATGTTAACAGCCATGGTTAAAGGTTTTTTTGCTGGGCGTGGTGGCATATGCCTTTAATCTCAGCACTTGGGAGGCTGAGGCAGAAAGATCACCACAAGTTGAAGGCCAGCCTGGGCAACCTAGTGAGTTCAGGGCCAGCTGAACTACATAGTAAGACCCTGCCTCAGATAAATAAATAAATGAATAAATGTAAAAAAAGTATTTTTTTAAGTAAGAAGGATTTAGATGGATAAATACTACTATTATAGCAATACTGTAAACATTGTAATTGTATTCAACAATAAAGAATAAAATGATTGTTATATGCAAGTTTTTTTTTTAGATTTTATTTAAGGAAAAAAAGGGGAAAAAAAGGATACAAGTTATACAGAATTTCAGAAAAAATAAATAGGAAATCACTAGTTAATAGATTACATATTGTTATCTTAGAAATAGTTGTTCAGGTTACAAAATTAAAGCATATAAAGTGGACTTTCAAACAGTGAGACTCCAGACAGTTCTGTTCAATGATCCAACAAAACTCAGTAGCAAGTGTTTTTATAGCAGCAAAGTACTTCAAGTCTCTGAGTTGTTCTCCTCTCTGAGGTTACTTAGTCTAAGAGAGAGCACATTAATGCACAGTAAACAGCATGTTGGGGCCAGCAAGGTTGGCACACCAGCACCTGATGTTGCACAGTTTAGGGTTAGCACAGGAGCTGTCCAGCGTGGGTGAGGGGCGCAGCCTCTCCCGGAATCAAATTTTTCCGGATATCAACAGAAGGTCAGGTGGTGTGTGTAGAATCTCAATGGATTCTGATCTTTTCTGGAGTTTTGATTTTTCTAACATTAAAATGACAGGTGTGGGGGGCTGGGGATTTAGCTCAGCGGCATAAGCGCCTGCCTTGCAAGCAGGTAGTCGTGAGTTCGATCCCCAGTACCGATAAAAAGGAAAAAGACCAAAAAAAAAAAAAAAAAAAGACAGGTGTGGGTCCATATTTTCTGTAGAGGCCCTATAAAAACTTGCTTTTCTGCAGCTAGAAGAATGTAATGCACTAGATGTGTAGCTTAGTGGGAAAACATGCACTTAACATGCATGGGGCCCTTAGCCGGCGTGGTGACTCATGCCTGTAATCCCAGCACTTGGGAGGCTGAGGTGGGAGGATCATTGGGAGTTCGGGACCAGCCTGGGCTACAAAGTGAGCTCAAGGACAGCCTGAACTGCATAGTGAGACCCCACCTCAAAAAAGACAAACACACACACACACACACACACAAAACATGCATGGGGCCCTGAGTTCAGTTGTAAAAAAGCAAATGCAGTAGTTGATGAGTACGGAGCCTTGCTGGGCATTTAACATTCTCTAATTTCTACAGTAGCAAACTGAGCGGGGGAGTGGGGGGCGATGCTATGCTATTCAGAGATGGAAATATGGTCCTACACAATTCCTTGCAGCTGGCAAGTGGCAGGTGAGAGCCTCAGGGCAGCCTAATCCATGTGGCTTAGCTAGCTGTGGCTCTGTGACTCCTAGGATCCACTGTGTTTGCTCAGTTTGTTTAGTTGTACTGTGGATCAAACCTAGGAGCCTCACACATGCTGAAGCAAGCTCAAGGGATCCATTTTAGATGCAGTGAGAGAGGGGTCAGCAAAGGCCAAAAGTGAGAACAGCTCTTCTGAAGGGGACTGTGTCCCTGAGGAGAAAGTGTGGGGAGCCAGGCGAGGAACCCAGCTGAGTGGCTGGGGCCCAGCAGGAAGGAAAGCAAGGGCCCTCAGGCAAGTCAGGATGAGTAGATTTGATGGTAAGGTAAGAAAGCTACAAAAGTCTCTAAGGAGAGGGGAAATGACTACTTTGGAGAGGGAAAACTTTTTTTTCTTTTAAGATGTACTTGGATTTGAGGGACTGGAGATTTGCTAGCTGTATTTTGAGGATTACCCTTCCCCAGAAGGCAGAAGGTGATTGGACTGAGCTGCAGTTGGAGCCGCCCCCCACCCCCAGCAGTCGTGGGTTCCTTTCAGCTCTGCATTCCTGTCCTGGAGACCTGGAGCTCAGGCCCACCCTTCCCCAGGCTGCCGTACCCTGGAGTCTCTCAGCCTGAAGGGTGCCCAGCCTCCATCCTCATCTCTGGGGCTGTTAGCAGCCTCCTTACTGTGCTGCATGC